TGGTCTCCCGTTGAAAAGGCAAGTAAGTGATGCATCTAAAAATGGATGCTTTGGCTCCTCATAGGAACTATGAATGTTGGCCAAGTTCCTTCTTACAGCAAGTCCACCTGAAAATTCCTCACCCAGAGTTCCATTCTCCACCTAAACTGCTCAAAAAGCCAAACTGTGAGGCTGTCACTGGGTCAATTCCAGGGCCATGGCTTAAGGGATTAAGAAATTGACAAACACCAAACAGAGGAAGAAAAGATATAATTACAAATAGACATAAATCAACTACCAGGTGGTTTTCAAATCCAACCAAAAAGAATAGCTATCAGAATGAACCAATTATAAAGCAGCTCTTCTTTAGATGATCTTTTTGACTGCTCTCAGGTCAGAGTCCCTCTCTGCCTGATGTCCTCTGTATACCACCAGAGGGCACTAACTCATGGAGTTGCTCTTTAAAAGCTTATGACAGTTTAAACTACAGGAATGTTGAATGAAACCTAGATTTCAAATCAATGGAGTGCTAAGTATGCAATTTTGACAGTGGCTTTAAACAGTCATCAGTCAGTCGTAAATTTCAATTTAACTCCACAAAACTTAAAGGTGCACACATGCAGAGCCAAAATATATGAGAACAGTGAGTTAATCAAATCTTCAGATTTATGAAAGTAACATTTCAAAATAAAAGTGATGAATTGCATCTCCATCTTTGGTTACAGGGGTTGTCATTTGGAAAACCTGAACCTGCATCTTTTACATGTACATAAGAGCACCAAGAAATATGTTTTGGTTTCTTCTTTGCTTTGAGAAGCCATTATTGAATTAGAAGTGAACACTCACTATAACAAAATTATTGTGCACTTTATTAAGGATGATTAAAATATGATTTAATCTTTCATATTAGGATCTTTCCAAGAATAAACAGCAAAAGCTTACCAGTCCTCACTATTTCCCAGGTTGCTGTTCTAAGCCCATTAACTTATTTAATACAACATCCCCCTGATGGGTTTAATTCTATTTAAGTAAAAAGTTCAACACTGCATTTCTTGAATTCAATCCAGAATTTTTCTTTATATGTGTATCTTCCCCTGGTGACTTACGTGTTCACAAAACTATAAATACAAATTTGTGAGTTCTGCCTCTTTAACCACTTTCTGCAATTACATCCTCACCCAGAAAATGACACTTCTTAGAAATTTCATGGGAGGCTAAGAATATGTAATCAAAATAATTCAGCAGTAAGTGCATAACACTACAAAAGGTTTTTTTGTTTTTGCTTTGGCTTGTGGTACATAAAACCCTGGTCTTCACTTTCACACTTTATTTAAAAGAAACTGAATCTTTATTGATTTGATCAGAAATATGGTCACTTCTCTATATGAAATAAAATTCAAATTTAATAAGATCTTTGTCCTGGTTTCAGTTGATTTCTTCAGTGTGTAACAGCCAATGTTTACAATGAAATGAACAAAATCTGACAAAATATGCTGTATCTGGAAAAGAAGTTTTAGTTCTTTTAGACAATCCATTACAGGTTAGTGCTACAAATAAACTCACCTTGAGATAATAGCCTATATCACAGGATACTGACTCCTTGGTTTCATTTTTGTTCTTTATTTAAAAACAAAAAAAGCTTCTCAAAAATTTTCAAAAACAGTATAGGTGTTGTGGCCTATGCCAACATACAAAGCATAAAGATGGAGTAACCACAGCATCCGTGTGGGTGCTGTGGAACAAAAGTACTCTGCTAATACTACTGAGATAGAGTCAGGCACTGCTTGATGACAAAGGCACTTACTGAGGTAAGTGCTGCTGGGTGATTCGTTGTCATGTGAACATCAGGGCATGAACTTATGACAAGAACTAAGACAGCTGTGAGATCACAAGGCCACATAGTGTTTCACATATGTGGCACATGTCTGTCCTTGTCTACAAGTTTACCAGTGAAGTTTACTTGTTCTAAAAAATATTTTCACTTATCCTGCATACTTGATGAAGTTTGTTAAATATTAAGGAAATGGTTCAGTATTTGCCTATTTTCTACCTTCCTACTCTTATTTCTTGGTATTTCTCTCTAGACTCTCCCTAGATGTCTTGACGTTGCAATAGTCGAGACATGACTGTTTCTCCTACCACCTGTCTCCCACTGTTTGGGAGGCACGGTGACACAACATACAGTGAGTCTGTAACTCACGGATCCATAGTTCTCACGTGCTCTGGCTTCTTGCACCACCTTGCATTATACTGTCAGTTATTTTAATACAACAGCTTTTATATTTACTCCCGAATTCTCACCCTTTTCCATTTTAACAGGTATACAGTATATAAATAGCAAGTTAAAGATTGAGACAGGACGCAACGCTAGTGGCCCACTAGTTTTTCAACAGCATTTATTGAGACTCCACTGTCCTGTAAGCTGCAGAGACAGGACAAGACAGAGGCCCTGCTCTCATGGAGCTTCCATTCTTGTGGGAAACAGTAATCAACACACAAAACAGATCATGCTGGAATAGATGCTAGTGAGAATAGGAATGCTTGGTGGTGAGGGGCAGAGAGGGGCGTCACAGATGTCACTGTGGCCTCTGGAACCAGGGGCACATGGACAGAGATCTGCTCTCCAGAGCTAAGTCAGGCCATGGGCTCCTTCACAATCACTCTGGATGAAGCAACAATAGGTCACTATAATCTATTTTCTTTTTAGTAACATTTGATTCATTTGAAGCCAGATATGGAGCTGGAAGGATGGTAAAGCTCTCCCTACAAGTTCTGCCAGCTTCATCCCAATGTGTCAGCCCTTACAGTTCCAGCTCTGTGGATCCCTCTTCTTGCTGCGCCCATGAACAAGTGTGTGGTGAGAGCCTGAAATAAACAGGTGTAAAATGGGTCAAGACCGTCGCTTCTATTTCTGTTTTTAACTGAAGAAAATTTGCCCCATTTCCAGAGGCAGAGAAGGAAAAAGCTGAATAAAGGCAAACTGAAGTATATTTTAAACATACTTACATTATGTGTATATATATACATATATATATGTATGTGTACATCTGCCCCACACACATTCCATATACGTATATACAAACACATGTATGACTTAGCGCTTAACATATCCAGAATCTTTTCCTGTTCAAGGGCTTTTATGCCATTACAATAGCGTAACTTTCATAGGTTGTAGGGTGTGTCTTTCAGAGACCACAAAACTGTTTTAAAGGATCAAATTAAAAATTAAAGGTTCAAAGATGATCAAGGTCCAGATTCAATTAACACTAATTTTAGAAGAATTTTTTTTACTTACTATGCATATTCAGCAAACTACTTCAGTTTTGCTTTGTTTCTTCCTAACATTGCATCCCAGGGGAGTCATTACGTACAATCAGCTCTCTAATTCAGATTAACATGTCTAAGCACATACTGACATAACAGAGCACAATGCTTCCAGAGGATCCCTGTTAGATCTGTGAAGCACAGCACTAAGAAGGTGGGTTTCAATCCCCAGAACTTCCAATTACACTTTGTATGCCAGCGTCTTGGGTTAGAAAAAGAGATACTGGAGGCTACAAGAGGAAATGGACATTTCCTAATGAATGTTAAGATTCTAACAGGTGACAGGTGATATGCACAGTGGCCTTGAAACTACTAAAACATGCATGAACACAAAAGGGAAGCCTCGGAAATCTGTTCACTCACTTCCGTTGCTCAGGGACTAATATAGGGCAGAGTCAAGTGAGTGACTTCAGGTAAAACAGGGAATGATAGGCTCATGAGTCTTACAGGGCAAGCTGAAGCACATCGGAGAGGAGACTGGATGCTCTTTTGTGTGAGGACTGATTTCAGGCAATGCACAAATTAACAGAATGTAAGCATGACTGTTTAATTCCATGGGATGATCAAGGTGATTAAAAAGGTATATGTCTCTAGTGCTCACCCAGGAGGCACCTTCACAAACCTAGAATCTGGTACCATAAGGTCATGAGTAAAAAGAAAAGAGCTGTGGGCTTCTTGCAGTGAAAAGTAGTCATTACATTTGTAATCTATTTCCCTAAAAAACTAAATAATTAGTAACTTAAGATACCAGAACAACAAATTGCAGACTTCAAGGTGATTAAATGTAAATTACTTTTTTACATAACATGAGACCATCTCTGGAATCAGACAGCAGCTTCTGACTTGTTTTTCCATTGCTCTTTGCACATTTGCTTTCTGCTACCAATATTTTAAGACCTGCATAAACAGAAACAATATTTATTCTTCTCTTTCTCCAAAAACAGTTATGCACTTTACCTTTTTGGCTTAAAGGTACATTATTCCACCATCACTTCCCCCACCCATCCACCCTGACTCATTCACTCACAACCATGTGCCGATGCTGAGACAGGCTCTAGGGAAACAAAGTAAGGGAAGCCCTTACTTTTTGTGTGTGTGCCTACAAAAGGGTCCCAATGTAGTGGGTTAAAGACACCAATAAAGAGATCATAACAATGCAGTGTGGCAAGGACTCTGGGATATGAGTGCAATATCCAGGAGAGGAGTGAACTGAAGGGACAGGCTGTGCTGAAATGACCCCAGGAAGTGGCATCTGACTAGCCTCTGGAGTCTGTCTCCTAGATTAAGCAGAAGTGAGGAGAAAGGGCTGGGCCAAAGAAAGGAACATCAAGCAGAATGGATTGTATGAAGTGCCTGCATGTCTAGGAAAGGGAGAAAGGTAGGTAGGATATAATTATGTAGGGACACATTGTAACAGACAGGGAAGGGTTGTGGAGGATGGTTCTCTCAACTTTCATCTACATCTACACTCAGAGGTAGGAGTTTTAGGTTAATGAAGACGCTGCTACAGAAGCAAACCCAGATAACCACGAAACAGAAGGGCCAGAATACTAGCATGCATGTGGATGCCTTGCCTTGAGGACAAGGAAGGTGCAAGTACCTACCTACTGCAGGACAAACACTGCCTTGGCTATGGTCATGCTGGCTGTTTGAGTTGGTCATACTAAAGTTTAAGTTTTAGCAGTAAACTTTCCAAAAAAACTTAATAACAAGCTTAAAAGTTACACCCTAGATGTTTTGAGCTTTCCAGTGACCCAGGTCTAAATTAAAAACAATGAACAAATATCAGAACATATACTTTCTAGTCTCCTAGACACTGACCTGCACTTTCAAAGAAACTACAATTTTGTGCATGCCAATTAAGTAATTACTCTAACAATGCTTTTGAAAAAGTGAGTACTTTGGTTCTTTTCCATAACATGTATTATAATTTACCAGTGGCATCAGGAAATAGCCCTTTTTTTGCTGGGATACAGTCCAGTCCATTTTTCATAAAGATTTATGTGTGAAGGGGTAACTCTGTAAGCAAAATATCACTTAGTGTAGAGAAAAACCTCAAAACAAATTGCGATAAAGTCATTAATGTTCTTTTAATTTCTTGTTCAATTTCCAGTTCTTGCTATTCATACGCTTCTCATCAAATGGAAACACTTTAATTAGAATAAAGAGAGTTTAAGAAACTTATGTAATGAGTAAGCTTCCATTATTATGAAATGGTGTTTCCTGAGCTTGCTTTCACGTGAATGCAATGGTGCAAGAAGGAGAACACCACTGCTAAAGAGAAACACAATTCGCAGCCCTGCAGACTCTCACAATACTCCCAGACTACTGAAGCCTGAGCACTGACAACCTGTGGACCACTTAGATCCCTCATTCCCTGACATAAGCTGCTACAAAATGAAGTAATTGCTCCTTCAATATACAAGTCATCTGAGAACAAGAGTGCACAAATGCATGGCTCAAAGTTGGGGTCTTCCTAAATACTGGGCTCTGGGGATCTCTGAGGACTTTTTTTTCTTTTTTTGCTAATCTTACTCCTGCGAGAAACAAGCTAAAGGGAACCTAAACTAAACCTGATGGATATTCATTTGCCTTTCCTTGTGGGGCTCAGATTAACAGCTTATGCGAATTCTCAGTATGAAAAGTAGGAACATGTGAGCTGCAGAGGTCCTCCTATTTGCTCCTTCAAACTATCTTTTTTACCTAATCTGCACGGCTAAAAAGTACTTTCCTGACATCATCAATTTTTATTAATCTTCACAGACTCAATGTGGATCTATGCATATAACATCTACAGTAGTTACACTCTGCCTGATACAAGGCTGACCATGTGTGCCCTGTCAAAATGATCAGAGGGCAGGCAGAGTGTGCATGCTGCTGCCTATACTGTGCATGACTGCCATGAAGCTATAAAATGTCTGCTTCAAACACGTATAAAATTATTGAGCTAAGTACTACCAACAGAACTTGAGGTCTGTGCCAAAATAAAGATTGGTATCTAAAGATATGCCAAAATAAAGACAAGACACTGAAGGATTATTTTTCTCCTGGGGAAAAATTTTCCTGTAACAAGCTGTTCACATGGGCAACACCTTCTTTAGTGACTCAATGAAAGGTCACCTTCTGAGTGAAAGCAAACAAACAACAGAAAGCAGCCATTTTTGGAAGACCTTGTCAAAATGATGACCTGTGCTTCTCTTACTTCACTGTGACTCAAAATCCTGCTCCAAGCCCATGATTGCAAGAGAAACCACTAAGACTTAAAATGAGGTCTGAGCGGCCCCTCAGAGTCCCTCAGATCCCCTGAGACTGGCTCCATAGGTAGCAGGTTAGAACAGAGGCCACTGAAGCACCTGGCCTCTCACTTGCCTCACAAACCTACTCTGCTCATAAAGCATTCTAAGTGGCTTTAGATCCACACAGGCAAAGACAGTCCTTCATGAACTATGTTCCTTGAACCCACTCCTCCAATAACACTGGACTGCACTTCCATAGCTATCTCCAAGACCTTGCGGTCAAGTAGGACTGTCATGAGCCACATGTAGCCTCTGAGCATCTAAAAATGTACCCATTCTGGATTAAGATGTGCCAAAAGTAAAAACATACACACCAACTGGCAAAACTGTGCCAAAAAAGGTAACATATCTCAATAATTTTTACAGATTACATATTCACCCATTTTTCATATATATAAAATATATTAAAATTCAATTCATTCTTTTACTAAAAATATGGCTACTAGAACATGGCAAAATCCACATGACTCCCTTTACACTGACTGCTATTGGACTGCCCTGCCTTTAGACTTAAGAGTTGAGTTCAAGCCCCATTCTGAAATTACAACTGAATCCTCTGGACCCATGACCTCATCTGCCTTTATCTCCCTCCTGCCTCTTCTGCTCCTTGCCTGGCATGGATCACATGACCCATCATCACATGAACTTTTCTACGCATGTTCAGCTTCCTCATCCCTCCTCCCTCCACTGAACTCACCTGGCAAAATCCTCATCTCTGGTTTAAAATCTAATTCTTGCCCTCCTTAGTCTGTACTTAGCTATAGAAAACAGAACTCCAAAATATCAGTTCTGCTTCCTGTCCACTCATTTCCACCTGAACCACCTGGCATTAGGCTGTGTTCTCACCACTTCACCCAAACAGCTCTTTTCAGTCACCAGTGACCCCCACGCTGCCAAATCCACAGTAAATCCTCAATCAGTACTGGCCTGACCTTTAGAAATACACAATTTGTGTGTGTGTGGTACCGGGCTTTGAACTCAGGGCCTCACACTTGCTAGAGATGCACTCTACCACCTGAGCCACTCCTCTAACCCTTGCTTGACCTTCAGTAGCACTTGACACATGACCATACTTTGCCTCTAGGACACCCTAGTCACCTGGTTTGCGTCCTCTGGTTGCTTCCTCTCAGTCTCCTCTGCTTCCTTCTCTTCCCAACTTCCCTTTAACACTGGGTACCCCAAGACTACCTGTTTGGACTTTGCAATCTATAGGTGCTCCCTAAGGATTTCCTTTAGTCTCATAGCTTGAAAGTCCTCTCAGACAAACTGAAAACACTCCAATGTCCAGTGCCAGCCTAGGCCTCTCCTCTGAGTTAGACCCCACACATGACTGCCTATGCAACACCTCCATTTGGCATCTAAAAGCCAACATGTCCAAAACACAGCTCTGACATTCTCCTTGCCCTCCTTCCCAACCTGTCACTCCCATGGTCTCCCATTCCAGGAATGGTGAACTGCATTCTTCCACGTTACCCTGTGCGCAACACCAACGTCATCACTCACACTTTCCATGTGAATGCCATGTATCAGCTGTTACTTCAAAACTGCTGCATGTGACCACTTCCGAGTGTCCTGGTCCAAGCCACCATCAGCTCTTGAAACAGTCTCTGCCCTGGGCTTCCTGCTTCTACCCTGCTCCCCTAAATCAGGGAGCAGCTAGGTACATTTTCTGTAAAGGGTAAGGCAGGCCATGTAGTCTGTTACAAGGACTCAGCTAGGCTGTAGTAGCTTGAAAGCAGCCTCAGACAGTATATGGATAAACAAGTACAGCTCCTCAGGTAGAATGTGGATGAACCAGTGAGGCTCTGCTCCAGTAGAACCAGTACTGACGTGGACCTTGATATCTGAATTTCATATAATTTTCATATGATACAAAAATATTATCACTCATTTTTTCAATGACTTAGAAATGTAAGCAATTCTTAGCTTGCTAGCTGTATCAAAATGAGCAGTGGGCAGGGCCATGGTATGTGGACCCTGCCCTATATTCAGAGTGATCGTGTTTTCTTCCTACTCAAAAATTCTTGGACAGCTTCCTTCTCATTCAGTAAAATCAAAAGGCTTTTGCCATGGTGGTACATGTTTGTAATCCCAGCATTCAGGAGGCAGAGGAAGGAGGATCCTGAGTTCAAGACCAGCCTGGGCTTCAAAGCAAGTACCTGGCCAGCTTCAGCTATATTTTGAATCTCTGTCTTCAAAACAATAAATAAATAAAGAGGTCTTACCATGACCTGCAAAGGTGCCCAGGATGCTTCTCCTGGAACCTCTCTTCCCCTCTCTCTGGACAGCAACTCCAGCCGCCTAACTGTACAGACTTCTCTTTCACTACTGCCAAACCTACATCTATCCTGGGGCCTTTGCTTTGGCTGTTCCCTCTGCCTGGGATATCTCACTCCAAATATCTGTGGTTCACTATGCCACACCCTTCCCGTCATTTTATGGGAGACTCCTGCTCAAGTCACATTGACTAAAACATCACACAGGCATCCAGAACCCCTCCATAAGGTTTACTTTGCTTCTCTGCTCTTCATCATAACCATTATCACTGACACTTATTTCTTTATTATTTAGAAATAAACAGATTGGAGAAGATTTTTGTTT